AGGTTGCTCATTAGTAAAATGATTTAATTTATTTATGACTTTTAATTTATTATGAATAGTGAATTTCTATATTTATTCAGCATTTTTTCAAAGCATTATAAAATGTTTTCTTGAGAATAAGTAAAGTAAAATCACATAATCAGAATAGTAAGCTACATTTTTACGCCAGCATTTGTTACTTTTATTTTCTTAATTTCTTATGAAAAGTAATATTTTCTTGTTGGCCGCAGTTTCCCACTGTTTCGAGCTCTTAAAGATTGCAAAGATTGAAATATTTCTTGCCATGTAGCTTCTATTTGTATGCCTCATTTATCAGCCTGCCATCGCTGTTTTCGCTGCTGGATTCTCGGCTTGAGACATCTGCAACATGGGTTGCAAGTTGCAGGTTGCCGGTTGCAGGTTGCTGGTGGGCTATTGGGCTGTTGGGCTATTGGGCTGATGGGCTGTTGCAGGTGGTTCCCAGATTTGAACGCAGTGCAGGTAGACTCGCTGCTCTTTGTCTCAATCTGGCTGAGAAAAAGGTCAGTTCTGGCTCTTTGTTGCCGCTGTAATTGCGGAAGTGGAATACATTCAGCTGGAGCTGAAACTGAAGCCAAACACAGCGTTTAGGCCCCCGCCTGTGGCTTAACAATTAAAGCCCATAAATCATCAAGTTCGCAAAAGAAACAAACACACAACACAAAGCGTATAAACCAACAGCAGCAGCAATAATAAGAAGTAATAACAATAAATGAAAACATTTAGCTGCAGGCCAGACTTGTTTTGCATTTGAGCAACGGCTTGTCAAAGCTCTCCAAATTCGTTTCTGTATCTGTATCTGTATCTGCAGCTGTATCTGTATCTGTATCTCTAACTCTGGTGTGTATCTGCGATCGGTGCGCAAAAGCTAAAACCCCGATCTATAAATAGTGTCGGTGGCTGGGCTCTCAAGGACTGCCAGTTCGGTTTCCCCGCCAAGTGTCGCCTCATTCGACGCTCGACACTCAACACTCAACACTCGACTCAACTCAACTCACAAATCAAAAGCGCAAATCAAACTCGAGTCTCGAGACATGATCCACAAAATGGAGTGCGAAATATCAGACTCAGACTACAGACTACAGAGGTTGAAAAATAATTTTCTAACAAATAAAAACTGCACTAAAATATAAGCAGTAAATGGGGTAAAAATATACAGTCTACACCCAGAGAAAAACCTCATAGTAAAATTAAACATTCAAATATTTGAATGTTTTTCAAAATATAAACATACTTAAAGTAAACCAAAAGCAGAATAATGTTATTATTAACATATTTATTTTTTTTATTTTAAGACTACACTTTACCATACATTAAAATAAATATATAAATATAAACACAACACCCCTCGAAGCTAAATCAGTACCGCAAATATATAGTTCAAAGCGAAAATATTTGGATTTCCAATGATTTTTCTCAGGGTGTATAAATCGAACTTAATACTAGAAGCATGATAATGCGCATAACATTACCTTGAAAATTAGTTTAGTCTCAGCAAAATCAAGCATATTAAATGTAGTGCAAAGATTCCCCGTATAATATCCATTAAATTTTGATTATTACGCAAAATTTAACTTACCACACATTTAACAAACAATTTTCATCTGAAGAAGTTACAATTCAAGTCTTGAGTGAATTACTACACCTGCTCAGATCGCATTTCAGATCGCATTTCACGATCAATTCCTGGGGCTTTTGCAATCGTTGGCCAATTGCTGGCTAATTACATGGCCTAAATGATTCGCCAACTTGCAGTTTATTTTCATTTCTCTTATTTTTTTCCCTTTTTTTGTGGATTGTGTTTGGGCAACAGTTTGGTCCAGTGGCTCAGTAATATGTAGTGTTAGTGGCCCAAAAGCGGGAATTAAAGAGCGTGACGTTTGATTTTGTGCCCCAGACTAATTAGCATGCAACTGTTTTGTCAAATGAATGGGCAATTACACAATTTATACCCATGCCGCTGCTGCACTTTACCAGGAAAAATAATTAGGGGATACGACAACAGAAAAAGTACAACTGGAAATCAGTGAGTTTTCCCTGTCCGAACAGAACTTCCGCTCGCCAACGGCGGCTTTTCCGCTTATTAAACATTTTTTTTATGTTTCGGCCCAGAGATCCTCGGCCATAAAATTTAGAATTGTCACCCAAAGTGCAGTCAACTCTAGTGGAGTGTTTCAGTTTGCCTTTGTGTGTGTGCGTGTGTGTGTGGCACTTAAATTTATATTTTCTATGTTTTAATGGGTTTTAAAACGGGGCTCTTTGTTTAGAGTTTTTTGGCTAGATAACACAAGATATTATTCAGTTTATAGAAATTCTATAGCTCTCTGTTTTGATTGTAAAATCACCTTTGCCACCGTTCAATTTTGTTCGATATTCACTGCCTGTTTGTCCAATTGTTTTGTGTATTTCCCCTCTACTTGAACTTGAACACTCAATCATGCAGCACAGTGTAGGCAACTGCAAACTGATGAACTCATAACTCAAACCCTGCACTTCCCTTCCCTTAAAAACTTTTCGAAAAAAACCCAAACAGTTGACAAGTGTTAATTGTACCGATTCCAAGTATTGCATGTGTGTGTTCGCATGTACTTCTTGGGACTTCCAGGTATAAGTGCTTATATACTTGAAAAATATATGAATCGTATTTAAATATTGGGCCATTTATAGTGCATTAATATTGTTCATCAGTATAATAACTACTTCACCCAATAAAATAATTGCAAGTATAGTAAGTTTAACAAGTGTGTCTAGAGAATATATTACAGACAATTTTAAAGTATCGGTATTAATTCAATACTAAATTATATAAGCCCCATACTTTTTAGTTTCATTTCTATACCTAAGAGCGCATAAGTCTTATGTTGATATTTTCGCGGTATTAATTTAATATTCATACCCAATAGTTTAAAATTCATTTAACAATAGACTTTATATTGTAATTGATGTTGGTTTGTTAAGTTGACACAGGAAAGATTTTCTGCTCGAAATAGTTTCAATAATTCGCTTTTCCTGCTCCCTTGAAACAATGCAAATGCAAATTGTGTTCGGTGCACATCGACTGCATATGAACCTGCATTTTAGGCCAAGTCGAGTCGCTGTTCGTGTCGTGTCGGGTTGCCAAGCTCAGGCAACTGCAGTCGACAGCAAAAACGGCAAGAGGCGTTTACTGATCTCAGCCATATGTCGCATATGGCGTCATTCTGCCCCTTTATCCGGATAGCCCAACCCATTAATACACTAAGTTGGACTGGAGTCTCGGGTTCTATGGAGTGGCACTTTATTTCCAAGGCGTCAGCGGTTGTCAGGCGGCAACATTAGACCGCTCTACCGCTTTGCTGCTGCACATGCAATTTACTTCTTTCGGTTTCGGTTTCTGTTTCTGTTTCAGTTGCAGTCTTTTTTTGCCAAGTTTTTGAGTTTGTTGTAGTTGCTGAATCGACAGTCGGGAGAACTTTTTGTCTCGGCGGATTGTGGATTATATATGGACCGGTTTGCTGGCCAAACTTTCGATTGGCCGCAAATGAGGTCGAGAGCAGGCCAAAAGCGAAAGTCAAGTCCAGTTGAGTGGAGTGGAGTGTTCGGACTTTTAGGGTGTGCCAAATGATGGTCCACGAAACCTGTCGCAGCTGTTAGCGATACCCCAAGTTTGTACCTTTAATTGCCTGAACCAGTGGTATCGCTAGGCTAAACTTCCTCTTTAATTGCTGGGGGTTGCAGGTTTTTTGGGGGCTGACTTTGCACTTTGCCTGCACTTCCGCTGGCTGACTTCCCCCGTTTTTTTTTTTTTTTTTTTGCGCTCAACCCATGTGCTGACTAGAGAATATAACACTTAACACCCTGGCTGGCCAAAACAAACAACAAAAAACTTGACAACTGAAAGTGAGATAAACCAAAAAAAAAGGGCCAAAAGCTAAGAACTTTTGTTTTGTAAATCAATTTTCACAGTGAGATGTTGGTGGCAAGAACGAATTAATAGCAAGATGATCAAGTTTCGCTACAAGAGGAAGGAACCTACCAATGTGGTGGGCGTGGCAGTTGCAGCAGGAGGAGGAGGAGGAGGAGGATCGCCAGGATCACCAGGATCACCAGGATCGGGATCAGATGGAATAGCCAATCATCCCCCAGTCACAACATCACCTGTATCGGTGCCCATGCCAATTCACCATCCACAATTGAACCAGCTGATCAGCAACAATGGAGGCACCCTGCCCAGGAGTAGTCCTCGCAAGCTAATGCTGGATGGAGGCGACAAGTCGGCCACCTTGACACGGCAGCAGTCCAAGCAGAAGTCGGCCCAAAGTGCCTTGGCCAAGGTGGCCAGCAGCGTGGAACTGGCCGTAATGGGCTACAATGGCACCGCCGTGGCCATCAACAATGTTGCCGGAAATTCGGAACGGGATCGCTGCATCAATGCGGTTATTGTAAGTCCAGGGAACATGTATATATCAAACGATCTAAACAAATACAATACAAAATATTTACCTAATTTACTGACTTAAACATGTACCTAAATTACTTTATTTATATATTGTATTCCTTTTAATTTGAATAACCCCAAGTTATGTACGTTAATTACAAAATATATACGTATACTACGCTTATTAGCACTTACAACAAAAAAGCACACCTAGTTTGAAAGTAAACAAACAAAAATAAAATTTTTAAAAAGAAAGACAAACAAATTAGTCACCTTAAGCTTTCTACTTAGTAATATTTGTCATTATAAGCAGTTTTACCTTTTTGCTTTTAATTTTAAGCTTACATGACAATCAGCTAAAACTTTACTTTGTGTAATGCAGGAAATGCTTTGAATTTCACGTATTTACAGATAGCTTGATTTAGGTAAGATAAGTTTTAGACAATTTAGCTTTCGAAATCACTCAGCAATGTCACGAGGTTAAGTCTTAATTTAAGAAGTACATGAGATAATGCCGGTTAAGTACATATCTAACTGTTCTATTTTGTTTCCCCCCGAAAAATAGGAACTGTTTCAGCAACTGCAGACCAGTTCGGAGCCGGCCCTGTGTCCGGAGCCACTGCGTCGGGCCTTGGCCAGCGGTCCCCTCGCAGGACGTCGATTCCCGCTGGGCTGCCTGGGCGATGCCGCCGAGTGCTTCGAGCTGCTGCTCCATCGCGTCCACTCGCACATTTCGCCGGACGATGGCGACTCCTGCGAGTCCTCCGCCTGCATCGCCCACCGGAGGTTCGCCATGCGGGTCATCGAGCAGAGCGTCTGCAAGTGCGGCGCCAACTCCGAGCAGCTGCCCTTCACCCAGGTGAGTTATTCGATGATATACCTTGCCATTCACCTAAATGGATAAGATCGTTAGAAAACCCTAACAAGTATACGCACTCGCGGTATTTGTTTACACACCAATCGAACCATTACTTTGGGAGTTATTAGGAAAGTTTGAAATATGACGTCACTGCATATTTGTAAAGGCGACGTTCATATACTCTAGTGAAAGCGAAGAAGATGGAAAGGGGGCGCTGCTCGCTCTTAGCTTATAAAGTTTACCGTGCAGTACGGCAGATGGCGCCACTTGAAACGAAATTATTTTTAAGGGGCATTTTTGTTTTAAAATTGGGCAACGGTTTTATAATAGGACATTGGGCTACAAAATCAATCTGCCTTACTACTGAAAAACAGCACGAAGTTCGCACATTTTTAGACTTAACTATTTTTAATCGCCCCATAACATACAAGTAGTACCAAGCCATTTAAATAGAACAATTTAGTGCCGATTACAAACTTCACAATGAAGAACTTGTTTTAAATTCAAAATTATGAAGAATATAAATATTAGCGGAAGAGATGGAAAGTTCTTGAATTCAGGTTATGTTTTGAATTTTTAATACCCATCTGACTTGTTTCTCTATTTCTGTTTAATCTCTGCATACCATTTGCATCTTTATCGTACACTTAACGAGTCTGATTTATATTTGGCAGTGAGCTTCTTTTTAAGCTTTGCTTGACTTTAGTAATTGTTTGCAAATTATATGTTTTTATTTTACGCTTTGACGCTTTATTTATACAAGAACAATAGTTTTATTATATTATAAATCTGGAACTGAAAATCAAAAACTTTTCTGCGAGTGTAGACAACTGGTTTATTAGTTGATGCCATGGATCGCAGATTCGATCTGATATCTTGTGGCGTGGGCTCCAGTTTGCCAGTTTGTCAGTTTGTCAGTTTGCCAGTTTGACAGTTTGGAACACCTGCAACACTCGGTGTTGCACTTGCCGTGTGTCCACTGTCTGCCACTTGTCTCGCTGTCCAAAAACAGTTACAGTGCCGATCTGGTATTTGAAAACGGGTTATGGGTGCTATTGGTTACGGCTCTTGTTTGTTATTTGTTGTTGGTTATTTGTTATTGGCCATGCACATGCAGATTGGCCACAGAAAACAAAAAAAGCTACCGGACCAGTTGGTCCCTTAAAAGGGGGCAGATTATCGATTGCCTATAGTATATCTTATAGTATATGACGTCAGTGACTTGAGTGGGATTGTGGGCGTAGCACTTCCGTCTTGACCATATTCCGCAGTTGGCTAATTGACTTCTGATTCTGATTTCTGATTTCTGATTTCCAATTTATGATTTGCAATCCCCCACAGATGGTGCACTATGTATCCGCCTCGGCCTTGACCTCCCAGAAGAGTCTGGCGCTGCAGTCGCATCAGCAGCTGAGTTTTGGCCAACTTTTGAGGGCGGCTGGCAACATGGGCGACATACGCGATTGTCCGGTGAGTAATGATGATTTAGTTAATGTATATCCGAGACTAGAGAGAATCATTATTTTTATCTTTTAAACCTTAAAAATCATTCACTTATAATAGCCGAAAAAACAATTGAACTATACCAATTGGTTGCTATTATCCCAAAAAATGCGCATGTGATAGTTTATGGCTTTTGTTGTATCTCATGATACGGAGAAAAAATAAAACAATTTACTAAAAATAAAGACTAAAAGCTTATAATGATTATGGTCTCTGGCATATAGATATATAGAGTATAGTATGTGATACCCCAGCTAACTTGTACCATTTTTACCACCCCAAAAACAGAACACCTGTGGCGCGAAGATAGGCATTTGCCGGGCCCTGCTCAACCGACCGGACGTGGTGTCGATCGGCATCGTGTGGGACTCGGAGCGGCCGGCCGCGGAGCAGGTGCACGCCGTGCTGAAGGCAGTGGGCACCAGCCTGCGCCTGGGCGACGTCTTCCACCAGGTCAGCGAGCAGCGGTGGGCGCAGCAGACGCAGCACGAGCTGGTGGGCATTGTGTCCTACTACGGCAAGCACTACACCACCTTCTTCTTCCACACCAAGCTGAAGGTGTGGGTCTACTTCGACGACGCCAACGTCAAGGAGGTGGGTCCCAGCTGGGAGGGCGTGGTGGACAAGTGCAGTCGGGGCCGCTACCAGCCCCTGCTGCTCCTCTACGCGGTGCCCCAGCAGCCGTCTCCCATGGAGCACCCCTCCGCGGCCCTGGCTGCCCCAGTCCGACGGGCGGTGACGCCCAGCCCGGAGAAGCCCAGTCTGGGCACCACGCGACGGGCCATCACACCCACGCCGCTGAGGACGCCCGCCAACGACTACCAGAACCTGAGTGTCATCCAGAAGACCATCTTCCCGCCGCCGCTGCCGCCGCCGCCGCCGCTGGGCAGCGACGAAACGGATGCCTACATCAGCCGCAAGACAGTGGAGCACGTGCTCAGCGCCCAGTACCAGAATCTGAGTGTGATCCAGGACAAGATTGGAGGTACTGCTGCAGCTGCAGCTGGCACTGCACAAAATGGAGACAAGGAGGGCGGCTTTCTCAGCCGCAAGCCCATGGAGGCGGTGCTGAGTGCCCAGCTGGCCAGGCGGCAGCACCTCCAGCTGCAGCGGAGCCACAGCGCCGAGTCCAGCTCCAACGGCAGTTCGCCACCCAGCGACGGGTTGACCATGCCGGAGCACTTGAACCAGCCACGTCGCCGGGACTCGGGCAACTGGTCGGGGGATCGGAACAGTGCCAGCTCGGCCAGCTCCACCACGCTGGACAATCCCTACCTGTACATGGTGGCCAAGAGGGGTGCTAATGGCAGTGGTGGTGCCGGTAACGGAGTGGTGGGCGCCGTGCCGCAGAGTCCCACGCGGCACGGCCTGCCCTACGATCCCGGCTACGACTCGTTCTCGCTGAGCTCTACGGACTCGTATCCGCCCAAGCACGCGCTCAATCCGCAGCTGGCCAAGATCCCCGAGGCGGGCCACGGCCACGGTGGCTCCAACGGCGGCCTGGCGCTGTCGGGCGACTGCGAGAAGCTCTGCCACGAGGCGGACCAGCTGCTGGAGAAGTCGCGCCTGGTGGAGGAGTCGCACGACCTGGAGACAGCCCTGGTGCTCTGCAACGCGGCCGCGGGCAGGGCCAGGGCCGCCATGGATGCCCCCTATAGCAATCCGCACACCATGACCTTTGCCCGCATGAAGCACAACACGTGTGTGATGCGGGCCAGGAGCCTGCACCGCCGCATCCTGCTGGAGAAGGGGGCCGAGGCGGAGGCCATGCCGGAGCTGAAGCACATGCGCGATGGCAGCATCGGCAGTGTGAAGCACGTGCGCCAGAACAGCAAGGATCGCACCTTGGACAAGGAGCAGCTCCACCAGCAGCTCCACCAGCAGGTCCATCAGCAGGTGCATCAGCAGATCCATCAGCAGATCCCCATCCCGGCCAGCATTGAGATCTATGCCACGCTGCCCAAACGCAAGAGTCCCCTGAAGGCACTGGCCACCGCCTCAGCCGCCGCCGCCGCCTGCGATGACAACCTCATCGAGTACGAGCAAATGGAGAAGCAGGTGGCGTCCAGTCCGGGCAAGCCGGAGCGGGAAAGCCGCTCCCTGTTCGGCAGGAGGGATAAGGACAAGGACAAGGATAAGGAGAAGGATAAGGACAGAGAGAAGGAGAAGCGCAGTCGCAGCGAGGATCGGCACAAGCTGACACGCGAGTTCTCGCTGACCGAGACGCTGCTCGTCAACGCCAAGGACACGCTGAAGAAGCACAAGGAGGACAAGGACGAGAAGAAGGAGAAGGACAAGAGCGGCAAGAAGCAGCACAAGATCAGGCGCAAGCTGCTGATGGGCGGACTGATACGCCGCAAGAACCGCTCCATGCCGGACCTCACCGAGGCAGCAGCCGACGAGGCGGTGTCCAGTGGCAGTGCCCACTTGAGCCACCACCACCACTCCCATCATGGTGGTGTCCACTATGGCAGCCCCAATGGCGTCGGCGGCGGCAGTGTGACCCTGGATGACAGTGCCGTGGGCCTGGGCCAGCAGAATGGCCACCTGAGCGGCCTGAGCGGCTACATATCGGAGGGGCACTTTGACTATGCCACCGGAGCCAGGGAATCGGGCGGCGGTGGCGGTGGTTCGCAGTCCGGCAGCAACCCCAATCCGAACCTGGAGCGCAGCAAGCTGATGCGCAAGAGTTTCCACGGCAGCGGCAGGCAGCTGACCATGGTGCCCAAGGTGGCGCCACCGCCGCCCATGCGCACCAGTTCCACGTTGACGCCCCAGCAGCAGCAGCAGCAGCAGCAGTTCCACCACGAGGCCAACTTGTCCAATCTGTCGGCCATGAGCTCGAACACCTCGATCAGCGAGCAGGACTCCTGCCAGACGATCATCACCACCTGTGCCCAGGTGCACTCCGAGCAGAGTCCCCTGAAGGATCTGCAGATGCTGGGAGCGAGCGAGGAGCTGCCCCTGCCACTGGCACTGGCTCCTATGGAACTGCCCCCGTATCCCAGTCCGCCGCACTCCGCCTGCCACTCGCGACAGGCGAGCGAGGATTTCCCGCCGCCACCGCCGCCGGAACTTGACTTGGAGCCGCTCAACCAGCAGCTGCACCAGCTGCAGGCCCTGGAGGCGGCCAGCAAGCACCAGCGGCAGCAGTTGGACAGCCTGGAGGGCACCACCAGCATCCTGGCCCAGCTGCAGCAGCGACAGCACCTGCTGAAGATGCGCAAGGAGCAGCAGCAGGTGGCGGGGGGCTCCGGCTCCTCGGATGGCTCCACCTGGCTGAAGCAGGCCAACGATCTGCGGGCCATGCAGCGCAAGCTGGAGGCCTCCTCGCCCGCTAGCGTCAGGGATCTGGCCCACCGCTTCGAGCAGCCCACCTCCATCCGCTCCTATGCCTCGCAGGAGCTGCTCAGCCAGCCCAGTCAGCAGGCGGGACAACTGCGCACCCAGATGAACGGACTGCCCAGTGGCAAGCTGGAGGTGGACGAGGTGGACTCGGTGCGGACTGCACACCAGATGCTGCCGAAGCCCAAGTACGAGATGAGCCAGTCGCAGATAGCCGAGGAGATGCGCGAGGTGGAGCTGCTGAACAGCATGGTGCAGCAGTCGTTGGCCCTGCCCAAGCGGGTGAAGAAGAAGAGCGTCTCCTTCTGCGACCAGGTCATCCTGGTGGCCACTGCGGGCAACGAGGAGGACGACGACTTCATACCCAATCCCATACTGGAGAGGGTTCTGCGCACGGCCCAGCACCCCAACGAGAAGGTCACCGCCCAGATGATCCAGCAGCAGCAGCAGAATGTGCTGCGTCTGCAGACGGAGGCGCAGCCGCGACAGCAGCAACTGCAGCAGCAGTTGCAGCAGCAGCTGCAACAGCAATTGCAACAGCAACAGCAACAGCAGCAGCAGCAACCATCGCCCATGTTGGGCAGACCAGCGGCAGCCACGCCCACAGATATGCAGCGTTATGTGCAGAGGATGCAACAACAACAGCAGCAACAGCAGCAACAGCAGCAACAGCAGCAGCAGCAGCAACAGGAGCTGTACCGCCAGCAACAGCAGCAACATCGCACTAGTATGAGCGGCATAGCCAGCCAGCAACACTTGCAACAGCTGGATGCACAGTACACCACCATGCCACGCCCCCTGCATCATCCACAACTCCTGGCCCAAAGCTATTCCGTGCAGTTGCAGAAGCACCAGCAACTGCAGCAGCAGCAACTGCAGCAACAGCAACAGCAGCAACAGCAGCAACAGCAACAGCAGCAACAGCAACAGCAGCAACAGCAAAGCCCCCAACTCAGTTTGGCCTACTTCAGCAATGGCAATGTGGCAGCCACCGAGCAAGTGCCGCTGCCTTCGCCTTACCAGCGAGTGCCCCTGCCGCATGGCTACTACCCGCTGCAGCAGCAGCAGCAGCAACAGCAACAGCAACTGCAGCAGCAACTGCAACAGCAGCAGCATCAACAGCAACAGCAACAGCTGATGGCCAAGCCAGTGCAGAAGAAGGTGAGCTTTGAGCCGGGAACCAAGGGCGAAGCCGATATACTGCCGCCACCACCGCCGCCGCCTCAGAAGAACGGATTGCCAGAGGCGGCACTAGGATCTCCAGGAGCAGGAGCAACAACAATAGCAGCCACTGGAACAGCAACAGCGACAGCAGGAACCGCCATCACCGCCATACCCACCCGCGTCTACAACAATGCCATTGTGAAGGCCTCGGCCAAGGCCGTCGAGTGCAACTTGTGCCGCAAGCGGCATGTGATTGCGCCGGCGGTGTACTGCACCAACTGCGAGTACTACCTGCAGATGCTGAACCAGCGCAGATGATAGACGGATGAACGCTGCTACACGGCCACATCGCTCTAGTGCAACTCTCTAGCCGTACATGGAACCTGTTAATCTCAAGCAATGCATTGCTGCCACGTCGCCCATAAGGATCCGCCAAGGATGTACATAGCATGGTTACAAATCTTAGCATATAAGAGCGAACGGAGCGGACGGAGCTGCGCCAGGCATCGAGACTCTAAGGCGGAACGCAAGCGGAGGGAAACCCGCAGTCACAGTCCTTCTATGGTTCCACATGAGAAGTTGCCGCTGTGACAGCCAGACCACCCAATCACCCACCCACAATCACCAGCCAATGTCCCCAAGCACACGCACACAAGAATATTGTACACTTCCATCCGCACATACACATATACTTGCCCCGGAGGACTTGAGCTGCTTGGGTTGTAGACGATGCAGAGGCTTTCAATTTCAAATGGCTCAAATGCAGTCGGAAAACCACTTTCTTGGTTAAAGGAACAATGGGGACTAAACATAGCCTTAAAATGAGCCAAACATGTCTGATTAGTAGCAAAATTGACCTAAGGCCACTGCATCGTTTACAACCAACAGCTCAATGCCACCAGTCGCCCCATTGGACATCGATCGCTTGACTAATTGCATTCCAAGATACTAAAACACCCACGATGCCTGGCCAGCCGTTCGCTTTAACTAATCGATTTTTGATTTTTAATTTTCGATTTTTAATTAATTTTTTTATGTTGTATCTACGTGTAGGGATAACAAGTGTTTTCTCTGTGTGTGACGCCAGCAGTTCGAAACTCGGTCGCTGAGCTTCCTTGTGCGTGCTGTTGTCCAACGACTCACGCATTCCATTTTTTTTTACATTTTTTTATAGTTAAAGCATTTATTCATTTTTTTTTTACAATTTTCGAACTTAATTAGGCTAAGAATATGTGAGCAACTTTTTGTGTCTTATGCATTTAAACGATTCCGTGTATTTATAGTGTTAATACTACTTTTACAATTTATACATACTTATCTAAAGATAGTATATATTTTTATGATACAATGATTTAAAAAAGATGATTTCTATTTGCAGTATACAAGCAGCGAGAAAAGAGATGTCAAGGCATCCACAAAAATGGTAAAATAATATTTTTTCTAAATAAATGAATACATAAAATAAACAATGTGTAATAACATTTGTGAGAAAATATTGGGCACATCAAGGGACAAAGCCACGTTCAAAATTGAAAGAGTTTAGTTCAAAACACTAAGATTGATAAGGGGGTGCATCATCATTTTTTGCGAATTTTTGATTGGCAATTTAATGACGAATTCGCCGATGTATGACATTCCATCTGGTGACCATTTTTTCCCAAGGTTTTGATACAAAAACCGATACTTTTTTTTGGGTTTTCAGAGATTTGACAAATACAAAAATTCCTAAAGCGTCCTTTTGCTGTAACTTGGCCAAAATTATAGGTAGAGCCATAAGAGCGACTGTTTTGGACAGCTAGCAACCTATACTACCCATCTAAAATCGGTTTAGAGCCATTTATTTGGTTTTAATAAGAAAAATTAATTTTTCAAAATAGACTTATTGAAAAATTAACTTTATAACCAATTTTTGCATTTTTTATAAGGGGGTACATCATCATTTTTTCCGAATTTTTGAATATCTGAAAAATTTTTAACTGAGAATGCCATTTGATTGGCAATTTAATGACGAATTCGCCGATGTATGACATTCCATCTGGTGACCATTTTTTCCCAAGGTTTTGATACAAAAACCGATACTTTTTTTTGGGTTTTCAGAGATTTGACAAATACAAAAATTCCTAAAGCGTCCTTTTGTTGTAACTTGGCCAAAATTATAGGTAGAGCCATAAGAGTGGCTGTTTTGGACAGCTAGCAACCTATACTACCCATCTAAAATCGGTTTAGAGCCATTTATTTGGTTTTAATAAGAAAAATTAATTTTTCAAAACAGACTTATTGAAAAATTAACTTTATAACCAATTTTTGCATTTTTTATAAGGGGGTACATCATCATTTTTTCCGAATTTTTGAATATCTGAAAATTTTTTAACTGAGAATGCCATTTGATTGGCAATTTAATGACGAATTCGCCGATGTATGACATTCCATCTGGTGACCATTTTTTCCCAAGGTTTTGATACAAAAACCGATATTTTAGGTGCCTTTTTTGGGTTTTCAGAGATTTGACAAATACAAAAATTCCTAAAGCGTCCTTTTGCTGTAACTTGGCCAAAATTATAGGTAGAGCCATAAGAGTGACTGTTTTGGACAGCTAGCAACCTATACTACCCATCTAAAATCGGTTTAGAGCCATTTATTTGGTTTTAATAAGAAAAATTAATTTTTCAAAACAGACTTATTGAAAAATTAACTTTAAAACCAATCTTTGCATTTTTTATAAGGGGGTACATCATCATTTTTTCCGAATTTTTGAATATCTGAAAATTTTTTAACTGAGAATGCCATTTGATTGGCAATTTAATGACGAATTCGCCGATGTATGACATTCCATCTGGTGACCATTTTTTCCCAAGGTTTTGATACAAAAACCGATATTTTAGGTGCCTTTTTTGGGTTTTCAGAGATTTGACAAATACAAAAATTCCTAAAGCGTCCTTTTGCTGTAACTTGGCCAAAATTATAGGTTGAGCCATAAGAGCGACTGTTTTGGACAGCTAGCAACCTATACTACCCATCTAAAATCGGTTTAGAGCCATTTATTTGGTTTTAATAAGAAAAATTAATTTTTCAAAATAGACTTATTGAAAAATTAACTTTATAACCAATTTTTGCATTTTTTATAAGGGGGTACATCATCATTTTTTCCGAATTTTTGAATATCTGAAAAATTTTTAACTGAGAATGCCATTTGATTGGCAATTTAATGACGAATTCGCCGATGTATGACATTCCATCTGGTGACCACTTTTTCCCAAGGTTTTGATACAAAAACCGATATTTTAGGTGCCTATTTTGGGTTTTTAGAGATTTGACAAATACAAAAATTCCTAAAGCGTCCTTTTGCTGTAACTTGGCCAAAATTATAGGTAGAGCCATAAGAACGGCTGTTTTGGACAGCTAGCAACCTATACTACCCATCTAAAATCGGTTTAGAGCCATTTATTTGGTTTTAATAAGAAAAATTAATTTTTCAAAATAGACTTATTGAAAAATTAACTTTATAACCAATTTTTGCATTTTTTATAAGGGGGTACATCATCATTTTTTCCGAATTTTTGAATATCTGAAAAATTTTTAACTGAGAATGCCATTTGATTGGCAATTTAATGACGAATTCGCCGATGTATGACATTCCATCTGGTGACCACTTTTTCCCAAGGTTTTGATACAAAAACCGATATTTTAGGTGCCTTTTTTGGGTTTTTAGAGATTTGACAAATACAAAAATTCCTAAAGCGTCCTTTTGCTGTAACTTGGCCAAAATTATAGGTAGAGCCATAAGAGCGACTGTTTTGGACAGCTAGCAACCTATACTACCCATCTAAAATCGGTTTAGAGCCATTTATTTGGTTTTAATAAGAAAAATTAATTTTTCAAAATAGACTTATTGAAAATTTTTGAATATCTGAAAAATTTTTAACTGAGAATGCCATTTGATTGGCAATTTAATGACGAATTCGCCGATGTATGACATTCGATCTGGTGACCATTTATTCCCAAGGTTTTGATACAAAAACCGATATTTTAGGTGCCTTTTTTGGGTTTTTAGAGATTTGACAAATACAAAAATTCCTAAAGCGTCCTTTTGTTGTAACTTGGCCAAAATTATAGGTAGAGCCATAAGAGTGACTGTTTTGGACAGCTAGCAACCTATACTACCCATCTAAAATCGGTTTAGAGCCATTTATTTGGTTTTAATAAGAAAAATTAATTTTTCAAAATAGACTTATTGAAAAATTAACTTTATAACCAATTTTTGCATTTTTTATAAGGGGGTACATCATCATTTTTTCCGAATTTTTGAATATCTGAAAAATTTTTAACTGAGAATGCCATTTGATTGGCAATTTAATGACGAATTCGCCGATGTATGACATTCCATCTGGTGACCATTTTTTCCCAAGGTTTTGATACAAAAACCGATATTTTAGGTGCCTTTTTTGGGTTTTCAGAGATTTGACAAATACAAAAATTCCTAAAGCGTCCTTTTGCTGTAACTTGGCCAAAATTATAGGTAGAGCCATAAGAGTGACTGTTTTGGACAGCTAGCAACCTATACTACCCATCTAAAATCGGTTTAGAGTCATTTATTTGGTTTTAATAAGAAAAATTAATTTTTCAAAATAGACTTATTGAAAAATTAACTTTATAACCAATTTTTGCATTTTTTATAAGGGGGTACATCATAATTTTTTCCGAATTTTTGAATATCTGAAAAATTTTTAACTGAGAATGCCATTTGATTGGCAATTTAATGACGAATTCGCCGATGTATGATATTCCATCTGGTGACCATTTTTTCCCAAGGTTTTGATACAAAAACCGATATTTTAGGTGCCTTTTTTGGGTTTTTAGAGATTTGACAAATACAAAAATTCCTAAAGCGTCCTTTTGTTGTAACTTGGCCAAAATTATAGGTAGAGCCATAAGAGTGACTGTTTTGGACAGCTAGCAACCTATACTACCCATCTAAAATCGGTTTAGAGCCATTTATTTGGTTTTAATAAGAAAAATTAATTTTTCAAAATAGACTTATTGAAAAATTAACTTTATAACCAATTTTTGCATTTTTTATAAGGGGGTACATCATCATTTTTTCCGAATTTTTGAATATCTGAAAAATTTTTAACTGAGAATGCCATTTGATTGGCAATTTAATGACAAATTCGCCGATGTATGACATTCCAACTGGTGACCATTTTTTCAAAAGGTTTTGATACAAAAACCGATATTTTAGGTGCCTTTTTTGGGTTTTCAGAGATTTGACAAATACAAAAATTCCTAAAGCGTCCTTTTGCTGTAACTTGGCCAAAATTATAGGTAGAGCCATAAGAGTGACTGTTTTGGACAGCTAGCAACCTATACTACCCATCTAAAATCGGTTTAGAGCCATTTATTTGGTTTTAATAAGAAAAATTAATTTTTCAAAATAGACTTATTGAAAATTTTTGAATATCTGAAAAATTTTTAACTGAGAATGCCATTTGATTGGCAATTTAATGACGAATTCGCCGATGTATGACATTCGATCTGGTGACCATTTATTCCCAAGGTTTTGATACAAAAACCGATATTTTAGGTGCCTTTTTTGGGTTTTTAGAGATTTGACAAATACAAAAATTCCTAAAGCGTCCTTTTGTTGTAACTTGGCCAAAATTATAGGTAGAGCCATAAGAGTGACTGTTTTGGACAGCTAGCAACCTATACTACCCATCTAAAATCGGTTTAGAGCCATTTATTTGGTTTTAATAAGAAACATTAATTTTTCAAAATAGACTTATTGAAAATTTTTGAATATCTGAAAAATTTTTAACTGAGAATGCCATTTGATTGGCAATTTAATGACGAATTCGCCGATGTATGACATTCGATCTGGTGACCATTTATTCCCAAGGTTTTGATACAAAAACCGATATTTTAGGTGCCTTTTTTGGGTTTTTAGAGATTTGACAAATACAAAAATTCCTAAAGCGTCCTTTTGTTGTAACTTGGCCAAAATTATAGGTAGAGCCATAAGAGTGACTGTTTTGGACAGCTAGCAACCTATACTACCCATCTAAAATCGGTTTAGAGCCATTTATTTGGTTTTAATAAGAAAAATTAATTTTTCAAAATAGACTTATTGAAAAAATAACTTTATAACCAATTTTTGCATTTTTTATAAGGGGGTACATCATCATTTTTTCCGAATTTTTGAATATCTGAAAAATTTTTAACTGAGAATGCCATTTGATTGGCAATTTAATGACGAATTCGCCGATGTATGACATTCCATCTGGTGACCATTTTTTCCCAAGGTTTTGATACAAAAACCGATATTTTAGGTGCCTTTTTTGGGTTTTCAGAGATTTGACAAATACAAAAATTCCTAAAGCGTCCTTTTGCTGTAACTTGGCCAAAATTATAGGTAGAGCCATAAGAGCGACTGTTTTGGACAGCTAGCAACCTATACTACCCATCTAAA